TCCAAAAAAAAAAAAAAAAGACAAAAGATGTTTGCTTCCTTTTTCCTCCTCGTACTCTATCTATTTCTTTTAAATCGAATAAACTATAAATAAGCAATTTATAAAAAGTGTGAAATAAAAAAAAATGGTGCAAATTCAAGTGCAGATTTTTCTTGTTTATTCCTGATTTCCTGTTTCTTGTTTATAATATTGATAGAGTTGTCAGTTTGATTTCCATTTTTGTGCAAATTTTAGTCAAAAAAAATTTTTTTTTATAGCTTGAACGAACTACGCATAAGAAAATGAAGACCAAGGAGTAGTGCCATTTCAACTACCAAACGGTGAGATCGGCTGACTGTTTTTGTCCCAGAAATTTTAAACCAAATTGCCGTATAAAGGGTGATCTTCCTCCTTGTCATCAAATGTGGATATTTTATACGAAAGTAATAATTGAAAGGAGAAAAATTTTAAACCAATCACATGATATGATATAAGTTATATCATTAAATTAATTAATACATACAATATTACAAATCTTAAAAAATTAAAAAAAATTAATTATTAAATAATATAAATTTTATATTTTAATATTTTAAATGATATAAAAATCTCAAATTTTTATCCCACATTTTAATCCTATTTATCGTTATTCCTTATACAATTGATTCTTAAACTTGTTATACCAATTAGCACACTGAATTCAGCTGCCGAATTCAGGATCTTTAATAATGTTTCATTAAATCAAAATCCTGGCCTGGAGTTTTGTAAAAAGAGCCCAGGGCTGGAGTGGTAACTACTTGCTAGAGGACCCAGCTGACTCAGTTTAAGGCCAAGAATCGAAGCCCAATTTTCACTCCTCTTACTGGGCTGCGTAATGATTTCGTCTTCAGGCCTGAAGAAATTCACTATAAATTCTTTTTGTTTTTTTCTGCACTTCCTTTTATGGTCCTCATTTTTTGGTTTCATCCCTTTACTTCACCTTTTTTTTCTTTTTTTCTTTTTTGAATAGATTACAATTTGGGGAGGGGGGGTTTGAAATTCACCAACATTTTTATTTCTTCATCTTTACTTTCCCATTGCTGGGGGAAAAAAGGTTATCATCCTTAAGGCTTTCTTGAAAATGTTTTGTTCTTGTTTGACTTATATTCTGAAGTAAATTTTTTCACTGTAAAAGTTGAAATTAGGCTAACCATGGTACAATAAAAAGAGCAAGTTGATCATTTGCTAAACTGCTTAATTAGCTGCATTATTGCTAATCCCAACCTCAATCACTTTCCTGAAAAGATTTAAAACAAAGAGAGTTTTCCCAATAAAAAGAACAATTATTTTATAGTATAATTTAATTTTAAAGATATGAAAGTATCTAAAAAGGTAGCTAAATGATCCTTTAAAAGGGTGTTGGATTAAAGGAAACTTTAGTACAAATCTGATTACTTTTTACTCTTCCAAAATTACTTTACACCTTAGTTATAATTATGGGATTAGGAAATCAGCCATCCCCAACCCCACCTCTTTTTCTTTTTCACTTTGACCTTTGGACACTGTTAGGTAGGGAGGTTCAATGTTTTATTATCATTACAATATAATGCTTTGATCATTTCATGTTTACTTTTTTAATCTTACTTATAATTTAATTAATACACGTAATTACTTTGAAGTTTCAATTAATACTCATTGTTTTTTAATTTAACACGTTATTAATTATATTATAATTTTCTTTATAAATGTGTTTAGTTGTGAAGTTGTTGATGCCCTTAATTTTAATATTAGTTTTTAATCTAGAAGGGTTAGTTATAATCTTTTCAGGTGTGGTAATTAAGGGGCCAACTTGTCAAATACGTACTTTAACAAACTTTAATTTCAACCTTCCTTTTTGTCACAAATCAAGTGAAAAAGAAAACCATTTTATAACTTAATTTCTTGGTGCATGTCCTCTTTTTCGAATCCCGCTTTGTTACAGAATAAAGTCAGCTTGAAAATAAACCCAACTTTTTTAAACGCATCTTGTTTATATAAGTACGGTTAAATTTAATGTTTGGTTTATTAATTATAAGACTATTATCATTTTGGTATGTAAAGTTTCTTTCTTCACAAGCTATTCTAGAAACATCAAAATATACCAACATCCTTAGTAACATAGTAATAATCTCTTTTTAATAAAAATAAGAGACTCTTAATACAAGTTACATGGCATTCTAAGATAATAAATTAAGAAATAAAAAAGAGTTACTTTTTATTATGTAATTTAAGATTAAAAAAAAACCATCAAAATAATTGCTAAAATGGTTTAAATATTTAAGTAATGGATCGGAGGTTTTGTGTTTAACTTCTCTAGATGGCAAGTTTTCTCTAAACTTACGTTGGATTGTGTATTGTGCTTAATAATGTAATATGTACAATGGACACTTTATTTTTTATTATACTTTATAAAATAATAAAAAATTATTATATAATTTAAATTATAAAATAATGAACTCACAAAAACAAATTCGGAATAAAGTCAGTGACATGGTTGTCCATGTTACAGAGGTCCCTGCCAATCAACCATCAACGCATTCGTAATTATTCATTCACTTTTCTTATTCATGGATCTTTTTCTTTCATACATAATGTCAGATGAAACTGATATTGTCCAAAACCACTGACTCATTTACGCATTGGAACTCTTGGTGTGTTCCCCATAACAATGGCATCTGGGTCACATGGGAATCCATGTGGCCTAAAGTAGTGCACATCGGACCAATGGCCATACATTTTTATGAACTTTAATTACATATAGCCAAATGTAAATTGGTTCGAAGACAAAAAAACCCACCATCACCTCAGCTGCTCGGCCCTCAATGCGGGGACCAATTCTCAAGGGCAACACAAATGTCAATAATCTCGTGTTTCCTGTTGCTCTAGAGACACGTATGCCTCTAGGACCATTCCCCGTTAACATGAGTATGACAACTCGATGCCCCCAAAGGTTCCTCCTCATTCCACACCAATCATATAGACTTAGTTTTTTTTTTTTTTGGTGCAAACCATATAGACTTATTTACTAAATACAGAATAGAAAATACATGAATCGCAAATTAATTATGGGTATGGTGTTGATCTAGTTGTTGATCACATGAAGGGATTCTGTAGTTCTATGTATGTATATATACGTTGCTTCAAATGTGCAGCAACTGAATTGATTTTATAATAGAAGAAAGTCTGCGTACGAGATCTAAATTAAGACAGGTATCATCTTCCAAAGACATTAATGATTTTTAGAGTTGGTGGCATTGGGGAGATGGGGGTATCTTTTGCTTTCCACCAATAATTGAAACTAATGAAGACTTTAGTTTATTCAGTTAAGACACCAATCATGGGACATGGTATGTAGTGGACATCATCTTTCCACGTCCAAAAGAACCGAGGTTGTCAAAACCTTGGAGGCATGTTAGTGTCTTAATTGCAAAAGATCCATGTGTTTTCTCCTCAACATATACATACCAAAAAAAAAAAAAAAAAAAAAAAGAAAGAAAGAAAAAAGGTCCTTTTAAGTGGATTCCACATCCTCACAAATGCCATCCCTATATGGTGGGTTTCACTTTCAAAAGCCTAACCAAATGTGCTTTCATCCCATAGGTCTCTCCTCGCAATATTAAAAGTATATGTAATTAAAAAAATAATAATAATGAAACAAAAGAAGCATAG